GATACCCTTTTCAGTAGATTCCAAAAATGAATTTCAAGGTGTTGTCAGGTTGTGCTCTCTCCAGAGATCCTAGAGGAGAATGCATTTCTCACCTCTTCCAGCTCTGGGTGGCTGCTGGCACTCCTTGGTTTGTGGCTGTATCACTCCAATCCCTGCCTCTGGTAATACTGTCTTCACCTTTTCTGTAGTCAAATCTCCCTCTGCCTCCCTCTTACAAGGGATACTCTCCCTTCTCAAGATCCTTAATTATATCTGCAAAGTCCCCTTTTGCCACATAAAATACCATTCACAAGTTCCAGGGTCGAGGACATGGATATCTTTTAGGAAGCTATCACCATAGCATCTTGATCCCTTAATCACGAACATTGATGAAACATAACAGAAGACATTCATTATCTCTTTAAAGATGTCCTTCATAATCTGTATTTTTAAAAACCTTATCTTTTTGCCATCTAAAATATTAATATTTGCATATAAAATATACATTAATTTAGACTGATATCTTTTATAGTAAGTTCTAAAAATGAATTCTAAGGAAAAAACCTCAACTTATCATATTTCAATCTTTTTAAAATATAGCTTCATGAATAATCATTTGACACTGAAACATGAATTCAGAAACTATTATTATTTTGGCACAGGAACAAAGTTAATTTCAGAATGACAGACTCCAGATATCCATTAACTTTTACTAAAATAAAAGTTTTAAGCTCCTGGATAACTTAGGAATACAAATAGAATAGGTGTTATATGGTTTCATATTGCTTCTATATGAAGGAACTGGTTATTTCAACAAATTACAAATAGATAAAAAAATTTTCACATAATGACCTAAATCTGCAGCCACAAAGAACCTATGATTTAGGTTTAACAAATGCACTAAGTTGACTTTTGCAGTTTTGTTCAGAATTAATGTGCATGGGTTCACATGGAATCAACAGTCAAGTTATTTGCAATTGAGCAATTGAGGTAACTCTTTGACTGCATCTTGGATTTTTATTAGAATTAATGAAAGTAGATATACTTTATGAACATGAAAAAATATGAATCAGATAACAAATTAAAGGGTTATACATTTCACCATAATCTATTCACAAAAGACAATTTACTTTTTTTTTTTTTTTTTTTAATAACAACTTAATGTTTTCCAAACTCCCTTCTGCTCTGGTGGTAGAGACTTAGAGATTTCTATGAGCAAATATACATCTCAGACCAGTTAGATATTTGGGAAATAACATTTATTTTTCTAGAACTCATCTTTTTTTTTTTTTTTTTTTTAAGTTTTTATTGATTTTTAGAGAGAGAGGAAGGGAGAGGGAGAAACATCCATGAGGAAAACATCAATCGGCTGCCTTCTGCATGCCTCCTTTTGGGGATTGAACCGGCAACCCAGGCACGTACCCTGACCTGGAATCAAACTGGTGACCTCTTGGTGCATGGGTTACACTCACCCTCTGAGCCACACAAGCAAGTGGAATTCATCTTGATTTCTATTTCATTTGCTGAGATAGCCCATCTGTGGCTATTACTAGGTACAGTTAGTTCATATAGTGCCAAAGCATTGGAGAAAAAAGAATACCTGGCCCTTTGGTACCAAATGTCTCTGGAGCACAGTCATCCTGTCTTATTGTTGGTCTACGCTGTCAAGAATTCCCATTTCTCTTTCTATGGACTCTTCAGGTCCAATGGCTTCTTACGTTAGCGTCATCCACGAGAAAACTGGAATCATTCTGCTGGTTTGAGTACAGGAAGATCTCACTCCCAAAATCATCACATTACATGGCAAAGGGAGATATCCAGGTATGTCTGATCAAATTATGTAAGAGTTTTCTTTGGCTGATGGCAGGAGAGGGAGTCAGAGATTGCAGTCATAAGAAGGACTTGATGCAGGTGGCTTCTAGGAGCAGAGAGTGGTTGACAACCAGCAAGGAAACAAGGACAACTGCACGGAAATGGATCCTGCCAACAAGCTGGATGAGCTTGGGAGCAGAGCCCACCCTAGCTGACACCTTGATTCCTGAGCATTCAATCCTGCCAAACACCCAGACTTCCGACCTACAGAACTGTGATAATGAGAGAGTGTTATTTTATGAGTCTGTGGTAATTTGTTACACAGCAGGGGAAGTAATATAAGGAAAATGCATAAAGGCAGTTACCAAGAGACAAGGATCACGAGGACCATTTGCCACAGGAGGCCAGCCAAGATCAGCGGTCTTGCCCAAATCAGACCACCCAGTTAACTTTTAAAATCATAAGCAATAATACTACATGGTGATTGTATTAAGCCACTAAATTTAAGAGTGGTTTGTTATGTAGTTAAAACTAATTGTTACAACTTCAGAGGTGACAGAAGTATGGAACAATTCTTCTTAAATGAAAAGTCCCATCCTGCTGGGCTGACCAGCAGCCTCTGAGTGATGGATGAACAGATTAGTCCTACACAATTTCACTGTGAAAGAGAGGCTAAGGGATGGCCTGACCGAAGTGACCAGGCTTCCTCAATTGCCTGCCTCATTAGGCTTTTATTGGAATTTATATATATATATATATATATATATATATATATATATATATATATATATATATATATATATATTTTATTGATTTTATACAGAGAGGAAGAGAGAGAGAGATAGTTAGAAACATCGATGAGAGAGAATCATCAATCAGCTGCCTCTTGCACACCCCCCACCGGGGATGCGCCCGCAACCAAGGTACATGCCCTACAATCAGTAGGGTGAGTCATCTTGGGAGGACACATGTGTTTACATATAGGCAAAGGCATTAGGGATTCAGCATAAGGATTCCAGTAAACACGCGGGGGTCTGCACATGCACAGGGTAGTTGGGAAAGGTCAAGGAATAATTAGGGGTGCCGCCTTCAACAGTCACTTAAGTCTCCCCTAAGTCGGAATTCTAATAAATAGGGCAGGTGGCCTTCCACACACTTTCCTTTTCTCAGAATGTCCTTCTTACAAACTCTCCAACCAAGTTTCACGTGCTCCCCAACACCATCCTAGTTCCAAAGACAATGAAGAATGTAGAAAGAGATGGGATCTGACTTTGAGCCCACCATTCTATAATGATGTTACCGTTTATTGAGTACTTAACCAGCACTATGTTAGGAGCTCTGTGTTCAGTAGCTGATTTAATCCATACAACTCTGTGAAGTAGGTATTTCTAAGACTCAGGGATTCTATGCTATATTTTCACTTTGTAAAGTTAGATACCTTTAATTACATTAACCATTTATCAATTCTCTAGCCTATAAAATGGGTTGATTATAGAACTTAATCCACAAGATGATACTACTCTATAAACTTTGTGAATTTTTGTGTAAATATTGGAAATCCTTACCAGCAGTCCAGGAATTAGTTTTCACGTTATTTGCCCTGAAAGTCATCTACGGTGATGATATTAAAATCTTTTTATATTGACAAAGCAGCTATTAAAATATATATCAGCACTTGATTTCTGAGAGTCAGCATTCATGTGTCTGTCAGCCTCTGCTTGATCAAGAGATACCAGTTAACCATTACAAGGACATAAATATACTCAAATTCACAGATTAATGATAAGTTCTGGTTATGGAGATGGGGTTGGGGAGCTAATATTTTTTGAGGGCTTCTATGTGTTAGATACCATTCCAGGTGGTTTACTTACATCAGCTGATAATGACTGAATCTGCCTGGATTGGAGTTGAAGCATGGATAGTTTATAAAGTGTATCGGGTGATTATACTGTGTCTCCAACGATCGAAAACCACTGACATACAAAACCCCAATGAATCTTGTAGTAATTCTCTAAGATAGGTTTTATATCCATTTATGGTAAAGAAATGGATGTCCACAGATATAAACTAACTTTCCCAGGTCACACCTGTAATTAGCAGGAAAAAGTCAGTTTTCCCCCACTTCACCAAGCAGAGGAGACAATCAGACTCAGCAAATCAAGGGGATGCTGAACTCAAGACCCCTCCTCAATAATCCAATCTCTTTCCCTATCTACCACGAATCCTTTCTGGCCACCTCAATCCTCCTTGACCTCTTCACCAAATATCTATAACATGAATAACTGGCATGTTTTGATGGTACTATATTACCTTATATTTGTACCCACATTTATCAAGGCCCCTCAGTACATTTATGCCCTGATTGTCAAACCTGGTGGAGACAAGCAGGCAAATCATGGTAAGAGCCCTGGTTTTGGAGCCACGCCCCCGTGAGTTGGCCTCCTCTGTGCTTATCTCTATGGCCTTGACAAGCCATTTGTTTTTTGAATCTCAGTTTTGTAAGCATAAAACTGACCCCTGCACTTGAGCAAGGATTAGAAACATTATATTCAGTAAAACCTTACTTAGTAAGTATACCCACCCTAACCAATGGAAGTAAAGTGATACGGACAGTAGTAAGAATAATTAGACCTCTTAGAGTTATTTTTTCTAACACGAATCCCCTAATATGTGGAGAGAGAATGAAAAGAATGAGGAGTCAGAATTTAGTTAAGTCTGCACTTTTATCCCTCAGAACAGGTTTCCAGAAGATTATTTACTGGAAAATTATGATACTCTAGCCGAACTCCAGGAAATCGTTATGCTCTGTTATTTTCCTCACCCTGCCTCAAATTCCTGTTCTAGGACCTGGCCCCGACCCTAAGCTTTGCCCTCCATGAATGGGAGGAATGGAAGATTTCATTTCGTGTTGGTTTGGTTGGGGCGGGGTGGGGAGTAGGGTAAATCTGAGAGGCTCCACCCATTTCTGCAAGTGGCCGGGAGGTGTGCGCACCCCCATTCCCCTCCCACTGAAACCTGCCAGGAGGTGGGCTGGCGGCGGAGGGAGGGCCCCGTCCCCTGTCCCTTTAAGGAGAAGGGCCGAGCGCGGCCGGAGAAGCCGGCGCTGCCCCGACCCCGCCCGCCCGCGCGCGCCCTTCCCCCGAACAGCTGCAGCCTCGGCCCCGCCGCCCCTCGGCCAGCAGCGTCCGCTCCGGCTCCAAGTCGCCAACATGGTGAAGATCGTGACCGTGAAGACCCAGGCGTACCCGGACCAGAAGCCCGGCACGAGCGGGCTGCGGAAGCGGGTGAAGGTGTTCCAGGGCAACGCCAACTACGCGGAGAATTTCATCCAGAGTATCGTCTCCACGGTGGAGCCGGCGCTGCGGCAGGAGGCCACGCTGGTGGTGGGCGGGGACGGCAGGTTCTACATGCAGGAGGCCATCCAGCTCATCGTCCGCATCGCCGCCGCCAACGGGGTAAGGGACGCGCCGGCCCCGGGCAACGGGCGAGCGCCCGGGCGCGGGGCCGTGCGCTACGTGCGCCCGGTGTCCCCCTCCCGCCTGCCGGGCCCGGCCACTTCCGCGCGCGGCCGCCGCGGCTCCACCCCCGGCCCCTCCGCGCGCGCTCCCGCCGGCCCGGGCGCCCCGGGGAGGTCACCATGTGCGGGGAGGTGGCCGCTCCGCCGCGGAGCTGCTCCCGGGACTCCCCGGGGGACGGGAAGGAGCGGGCCGGGGAGCAGGGCCTGACCTTGGGGAGCCCGCCTCCGCCTCCTGCCCCTCCCACCTCTCCTCCCCCTTCCCCGGGCCGCTGACATAGACGCGAACGTTTCCTGCGCGTAAAGATGCGGTTACCGAGTGCAGTGCAGCGGCGCCTGGGCCGGGAAAGGTTAGAGGCCGCCGCCTGGCTCAGAGCCCCCGCGCTGCCAGCCCCGGCTGCCTTCTATTCTGGTCCGGGACGGGCGCTCCCCGCGGGCTCCGAGCCCGACGCCGCGGCTGGAGGGGCCCTGGCGGCCGCCACCCGGGGTGTCAGGCCCGCACCGCGGAGGGTATGGTCTTGTCATTTTCCTCCAGGCAGTTTGCTGGGGACAGAGCGCCTGCCCTGGGGCGGCATGGTTGCTGGGACCCAGGGTTTTCAAAGGCTGGTCTTTGCCCAGTGCTGCTTCTGGATCTGTCCCACGCAGGGGCCTGGAGCTGAATTTTCTCTGGAACAGAACTACATACCCAACGGCGCTCTTGTGCAAGCAGTTCAGGAAATTAGTGCAACACTGTGTTCCTTCTCTGCCCCTTCCTCTCCTTTCCCCCCTCCCTGCCAAACGTTAACTGATTTAATTGGGCAGGTTCACTCGGACAGGTGAAACTTTGAGATAGGCTTTGCGGTAAACCTGATATACGGAAAAAAAAACAAAAAACACGCATTTACAAAATAGGTAAATCAGGGCTGATTGTTCACCCACTTTTATAAAACGTCTTCTAACGAGTTTTTTTTTAAAGACCACATTTCCTTTCTATCTTTAAAATAAGATTTGACTTTTACCTAACTCTTATGAAGCTCATTCCCTTTACTAACAGTTTAGTTCATTTTAGTAGTATTTTATCTCATTACCATAGAGTGCCATTTTGCCAAGCACCATGAGAAACCCTTTACACACAGTATCTTACTTAACTTGCTGCGGTCCTGTGAGGTCGATGCTACTATGGGCATCCTCAGGTTGCCAAGGAGTAAACGGGGCTTCGGCAGGTTAAGTCATTTGCAGGTACTGTAATGGCAGCACTGAGACTGCAGCAGGGAATTTGCACAGCTTCCAGGAACAAAGGGAGCCTTACATCTGAAGATCTGTTTTATAGGAGTCTCCTAACCCAAACTAGACCTAACCTACATCTGCCTCCTTGGACCAAACCTTATCTGGATTTTTCTTCACGTTCAGGTTTTCAGACAACCTCAAATTCTCTCGAAAGAACAAACTAGCTATATCCCAGGGTAACCCTTCATTTCCTTATCGCCTTCCATTCATCCGTTTAACAAACACAGCTATGAACAGAGAATCGTGTGGGTAAAAAGACAATTCAGACACAAGACTTCTCATTAAGGAGCTTATAGAATAGTAAGAATTATAGGGGCCCAAATGAAAATGATCTATTTGGCAGTAGTGTGGAGTGGGAAGGAAAGAATTAGTTAAGACTAAAAAATTATGTTCTTAAAACCTTTTCACCTTTTAGCGACTGCCCTATTGTTCTCCCCTGTTATGCCAATCTTTATAAAACATTTGTGTTCACCATCATTGATTTCTCACCTCCCATGCACTCCCCACCCTACTACAACCCTAATGCTTTCTCTGTCACTCCACAAAAATTTCTCGCACCAAGGTTACTACTGACTTTCTGGCTGCTAAATCCATTGAACATTTTTTAGGCCAAAGCCAGTGTGAGGATCACAAACACTGCAGGGAGCTCAGGAGGAACCCGTGAGCTAAACTGCTCTAACTCCTGGGATTATGCAAGAATGAGACAAGCCCAGTCAGTCCTCATGTACTTGGGGCTTAGAGTCAAGAAGGTTTGTGTTGGAGGCCAGATGGGTTACAGACAGAAAACCAACAACTGCTACATGGTGCAGTGAGAGCTATTATGGAGGCTAGCAAGGCAGGCTTTGTGAGCAGAAAAGAGGTGCATCTGATTCAGGCACAGAGGCAGGGAAGTGACAACTACCTCCAGACTTGGAGGTGAAGAGGAGAAAAGAATATTCGAGGTGGAACCAAATGTGAGAGAGCATAGCATGTTGAAGAGGTAGGTGGGAGGCTCCCCCACCTTCCAACTCTGTATTTTTGTTTCATACTCTACAAGAACTAACTGCACTAAAAACACACCTCACGTTGTATATTTTACAAGACACTTTCACATGCATTGCTTTATTTCCTCCCTAAAGCAAAGATTTCAGGTGTCACAGGTCACAGAGTCAGGAATACCGACTAGGATCGGCCCCCTCTGTTCCTAGGACTGAGAGATGTGACAGCACAGACACCCCAGGACTGAGCTCCAAATACCAGGTCCCCACTGGGAGTGGCTGAGGTCACTGCTGGTCTGGGAGAAGTTTTAAGTAAGTGAGCATTTGGAGAGGAGAAGTGTGCTGACCTTGCTGCTTGGGGTGAAGCCACTTGCTCGCTATTAGATTGAATTGAAACCAGTTAATGGAATCACAGGAGGCACAAGAGGCAAAATCCACATCAAGGCGTGACTGTTTCTTTTCCTTTGATGACTCACGTAAACAATGAAAACGGAGTCAGTAGAATATAATTCTGGGACCTGCTGGTCTCCTTGGAGTCAATGGGGGCAAATCACCCAATGAATACTGGGAAATCACATTTTACCCTGGGATGGTGGAGTCTCAAATTAGAGTGAAAGGTGAGGCTTTAGTAGAGTCAAAGTCATCCTTAAAAAAATCTTAGAAAAGTATCACATTGGAAAACAAAATATGTGGTGCGATACTATGTCTGTAAATCCCAGAGGCAACTAGAAATCTCTGCCATGGACCACTCGTGGGCCATGCAGATAACCATGCCCATTCTCCTTTCCGCCCCTAGAACACATCCCACTTTCCCAGCGGAGGTGCCCTAAATTCCTTCCAATAAGTACATGGAGTTGTAAGTGGAGCATTCGCCAGCCATAATGTTCGCAGTCCACAAAGAAAACCCTTTGGCAGAGCCACGACCTCCTTACCTGCCTGCAGACCGGCTCGTCTTTGCCTGAGCTCCTTTCTGTATTGTGGCAAGAAGCAGTCACCTAACACTCCACTCGGGAATTCTCCCAACCATTTGGCTGGAGCTACAGTTTGGTTGGCTAGTGGTCTGCATCTCAGGGTGGCAGTGGAAACGCTTTTGCCATGGTCTAAAAAAAGTATGCCGATGCCACACCCTTTAGATTCTGCTTTGGTACAGAATACCAAGTTTTATTATTGGTGAAAATGTAGATTTGGCTGCTATCACCATTTCAAAACAAGTTAATCAAAACAAAAGTTCATAGTAACAGAGGTCTTTCTAGGCGACTTTCCAGGGCCAATATGGTGGCTTCATTATGTCAGGGGACCCGTTTCTTTCCTCTTGTAGCTCAGCCTTGCTTAGTGTGTTGCTTTTATCTGCAAGATCCAAGATGGCTGTGTACCCCCATAGGGTGCTCCTTTTTCAAAGACTACATGATTTCACCTGTGTCCCATTGGTCAAAACTTAGTCTAAGGCCTCTTCTAGCAGCAAGGGAAGCTGGGAAATATCAGTGTTATTCTAGGTGACATGTCAGGCCAAACATGGGGTTGTCAAGCTAAATGAAAGGGAGCAGCGATGTTGAGGGACTTGCCAGCTCTCACTGTCTTAAATATACTTTCCAAATTTGGTGATATCACTTTCAGGTGATACAGTTTACAGAGATGACAGAAACTTAATTTTCTATACAGAAGTAGAATTTTGGAAGAGACCTTGACTATTATGTATTCTAACCTCCATCTTAGAAAGCAACCAAGGCACAAATATTCCCATTGTGGAGGACTTTTAAAGTAAACTATAGAGATGTAATTCACATACCACACAATTCATGCATTTAAAGTGAACAATTCAGTATTTTTAGTGTGTTTACAGGTTGTGCAACCATGATCGTGATCTAATATTAGAATATTTCTGTGACCTTAAAAGAAACCCCATGGATTAGCAGTGAATCCCTCTTGCTCCCCTATGCTTTCGGACCTAATAAGCAACCACCAGTCTACCCTAGGTCTTTATACATTCACGCGGATGGGTTTTGCATGTGTTCAGTTTTGGTTGCCATGCAGAAGAAGTTCATTTAGCAAGTGCAGCCCCAGGGAGCATGAGAAACAGAGGCAGAGGGTTTGTGTCCAGAACAGAATCAGTGTCCCTGGCTTCTACCTTGTGCATGGAGACACAGAGTTGAATCTGATCCCATTCCCAAGGAGACTAGTTGAATGCGAGAAGATGGACATACATATAGAAAGGCAGTCACCACTATCTTACCTAATAAAAGACAGACATGTAAATTAATCATCACTCTGCTTCGCCCACAGCCAATCAAAGTGAGTATGCAAATTAACCCAACAAAGATGAAGGTGGGAAGCCTCTATGAGGGGCAGGGGGGCAGCGGTGGAGGGAGCTACTAGAGTGGTCAGAAGTGAGGATTGTTGGCTCTGGGCCGCCCAGAAGCGGGGATGCGCTGACTGATCCCGGCAGCTGGGAGTGAAGCCAGGGGAAGGAAGGCCTATTCTGGCACAAATATTGTGCAGTGGGCCTCTAGTATAGTATAGGAACTAATACTTAAAGGAAAAGAGATGGCTGTGGGAACTCAGGGCAAGAGCACTTGCCCCAGCCTGAGGTGGATCCCTGTGTCAAGGGGGTAGTGTGGCCAGTGAAGGCTTTTTTCATGAGATGAGGCTGTTTTTCTCAGCAGACTCCCTGTCCGAAGCAGACAGGCTGTCAAAAAAGGAG